TTTAGGGTTGAGCGTTTAGGGTTTTAGGGTTTAGGGTTTGGGGTTTAGGGTTTTAGGGTTTAGGGTTTAGGGTTTAGGGTTTAGGGTTTAGGTTTTAGGGTTTGTTGTTGATATAAACTTTTAATCTCCCGGAACAAAAGGAGGGACCCTTAAAGGGACCCTCGGGGTTATATAGGGGCTTTATGAGACTATATAAGGGGTATATAAGGGCTATATAGGGTATTTGGAGTAGGGGTCCCTCCTATTGTCCCTTGATAATCCTGCATTAGCTTAAGGACCATATAAACATATTCCTTATTATGGGTAATGCGGGATTTATACCATCAACCGTAGGTAGTACTAGGGAGACCCCTTAAAAGGGGGCCCTTCTGAACCCTACTTCTGGCTCTCCTAAACGGGACCTCATTGAGCCCCCCTCATCCTAACTCGGTTTAGGGTTTAGGGTTTAGGGCTAACTCCTATAGTCAGTCAGTAGAGTAAACTAAGGAATTCTGAAGAAAAGAAAGCAGATCACACTGTAAACCCAAAGTAAATTTGGTTCACTGTTTTTTGGTCATCTAAAGGCGCATAGGTTAGTATATGTTATTGTGACTAGGTCTCTCGGCAAGGCAATATCCCATACCCTAAACCCCAAACCCTGTATCTTAAACCTTAAGCGTCACACCCTACTTGGAGCGTCGGGGGACTTAGTAAGTGGGTAGTAAGTAGACTTATAAGTACCCTAACAAGGACCCTAACTGGGGTTATGATACTTATGACTCTAAAACAGAACTACTTACTGTACTAAGTGCGCCGACCCTCCAAGTAAACCCCACCACCGCAGCCCTGTGTCCTAAACCTGAACGTCAAGGCAGTACACTACTCGGATACCGTTTCTGCTTGCAGTGCTCTCCGGCTGGCCGCTGTTCAAAATCATGGGAGAAGCCATCGACTCTGCCCTGACCTCAGCTTTGATTTTTTGATGATAAATACTTATTTCTTCAACTGCACTTTAATCTTTTGTACGCATGTTTCAAATTCAGGGCGTTATAACCTGTAGGGTTGATTGGCACTCGGTGCGACAAGTCCGCAAGGAAAAGGCTTGCGCGCCTAAATACACGTGTTGGTGGTGAGTGCCGGCCGGTGTTGGGGGGACCTGAGGCCTCAGGAACACAGACCCCCATACGATATCAGACTCTGATCTCTGAAGCTGCCTAAACCCCAAGCTCGCATATTCCAAATAATAAGATATGCCGTAAAGCGTACTCAATTCTTAAGGCCCCTGTACTAAACAGTGCTCCTGACAAACCCTTCCAGCAAAATCCTGATAGTAGCTCAAATATATGTAGAAAGCCCTTTCAGCAACCCTTGAAAACAACCCCTTAAACAGGGCCCTTCGAAGACACTTTTGAAGAGCCCCTTCCTTTGAAGAGTTCCTTTAAAAAGCAAGAGCCTTCCTAAAGAACTGTGCACAGAACCCTTCAAAGAATTCCCTAGAAAAAGCAAGAGCCTCTACAGAACCCTGAACCCTGAACCCTAAACCCTAAACCCTGAACCTTAAACCCTATAAACCCTAAGCCCTAAACCCTGAACCCTGAACCCTAAACCCTAAACCCTGAACCCTGAAACCCTGAACCCTG